GAAGTTGTGGTTTGGGATTTAGGTGTAGAAGAGGTTAAGAGTTAAGGAAGTTGTGGTTTGAGGTTTGGGGTTTCGAGTTCAGGGTTTTACAAACTCTTTCCTCGTAAACCCCTAGTAAGAGAAAACGCGGGCATAGCTATTTCCTCGTAAGGTCCTAGTAACACCATTACTAGGACTTTACGAGGAAAAAAACGCGGGCATAGCTACTTCCTCGTAAAGATGTTTCCTCGTAAAGTCCTAGTAATGGTGTTACTAGGACCTTACGAGGAAATAAAAACGCAAGCATAGCTGTTTATCGTAAAGCCCTAGTAACATTACTAGGGCCTTACGAGGAAACAAAATTCCTTATATATACACGAGCAATCCGATTTCTCATTCATAGTAACCTCCTCTCCAAATTCTCTTAAGGTACTCTCTATTTCCTAGTTAGGTGGTTAGATTAGGGAATTTAGATTAGGTGGTTAGATTAGGGAATTTAGATTAGGTGGTTAGTTTAGGAAATTTAGATTAGGGAATTTAGATTAGGTTGGTTTAATTGTTTTTAAAAATTATACGAGAATTAATGTTTTCTGTTTTTTTAAAAAAAATTAGATGGTTAGAAAGAGCAAAGTTGCTGCTGCTCATGCCAGGAGGCCTGTTGATCAGGGGATTCACTATGGAGATCTATTCGGCCCCGGTTCATCTTCGTCAGCTCCCGGTGGTTCATCTTCGGGAGTTCCCGAGACTCAGGGAGGTTCTACGGCATCCCGGTCTCAGCAGCCACCTCCTCCTCCTCCTCCACCGGTCGGGATTCATCATGATTTGCAGGTGCCGCCGAACGCACCATTTGCGGTGTGCACGGTGGAGGATATTTTGGCCCTTTCAGGCAGAGAAGGGCTGCCAGAGTTAGATCCTATCCGACGGGACGGCCAAAACGTATTATGGTATGTTTTAATTTTTAAAAAGTTGTATTAATTTATTTCTTAATTAATAAAATATTTACAAATTAATCTAATTAATGATTTATTTTCTGTCTTTCCATTGGTCTTGACAATTGTGTCGGATCTAGCATCACGGACTGTATCAAGGGATACTTTCCCGATGCAGCTCCAAACTGGAAGATGACGGCGAGCCACACAAAAAAGACGTGGTTCAAATCGTTCGCTGTAAGTTTAGTAAATCAACTTAATTTATTTTTAATCTTTTAAAATTATTAATATTATTGAACTAATCCGTCTCTTATTTTTTTACAGCAAAAATATCGTTGGTCTATTAGGATTCACCAGCGGGTGAAGTCGGAGTTCGAGGCCAAGGCAAAAGCACGATTGTGCGACATGGTCTACAACTGGAAGGGCGACTTTCAGGTATAGATTTATAAATAATTATAATATATGTATAGTTTTAAAAATATATATTATTGACTTTAACTAATTATTTTAAATCAGGTGGACGGTTACGAGCTCCGGAAACCCGATTTCCTCACAACCACAGTGTGGGATGGCCTCATCAGCTATTGGGGGTTGCCAGACTCGATCAGAACCTCCCAGACAAAGTCCAGGAACCGCATGACCACAGACGAGTATGGCAACACGAAGATGCTTCACACCACGGGCCGAAAACCTCACGGGGGAGTTCGTCTAGACATGGTAAGATGATTTTTTATAACTATTTAATTTTTTATTTTATTTGAATATTCCAAATTAATATATATTTAATTTAAAAAAAATTAGGCTAAAGAGACAGGAGTTCTTCCATCTCTGAAAGACCTTTACGAGCGGACCCATCGGAAAAAGGGTGGGCAGTTTGTAGATCCTGCTTCCGAGCGGATCTACAACGAAGTTGTTGCCCGAGTTGACGAACGCCAGACCCAGCTGACTCAGCAGACTGGGGCTCCAGTCGTATTATCCACTCTTGAAGTGGATAAGATTTACGAGGAGGTAAATAATTTGTTTTAATATTAATTTTTCTTATTTATTTAAATTTTTCCTTATGTTATTAATATTTTTATTTACAGGTCGTCCCTAGGAAAAAGGGCCGTATTGTCGGGATTGGCTCGGTTAACGATGTCTCTGCAGTGACATCAGCTTATGTTCACCAACAGGACGATGCCAATGCTCAGCTGCGGACGGAGTTGCAGGCGACGCAGTCTCATGTGAGTACGCTCACCGAGATCGTCGACATTATGGCGGTTGGAAACCCGCAAGTGGCGGTTGGAAACCCGCAAGTGGCGGAGATGTTGTGTCAGAGACGGGAAAGCAGAGCCCTTCCACCCCAACAGCCTCCACCATCACAGTCACAGCCGGCATCCAACATTGGAGACAACGACTTCATGCAGCAATTTCACGAGCAGCATCCCTTTTAGTTTTTTTAGTTTTTAATTGTATATTATGAATTTTAAAACTTATTAATTGTATATTATTTAGTTATTTATAAATATTTTGTTATTTATTTTTTTATTTATAATTTGGTTTTTTAATTTTTTTGATATATATAATTTTTAATTTATAAATATTTTTTTTTTAAATAGGAAAAAATTATTTCGAAGCAAAATCTTCGTAATGGTTTCGAAGTAAAATCCTCGTAAATTTTCCTAGCAAGTTCCTCGTAAAGATCGTACTACGAGATTACGAGGAAACAATTTACTATGACATTACGAGGAAAACCTACGAGGACCTTACGAGGAAAACCTATCCACGCGTTTACGAGGAAATGTTTCCTCGTAAATTAGCTAGGACATTACGAGGAAAATATGCTTTACGATGAACGTCTTTCGACGAAACGCGTTTTCTCGTTATTTCCTAGTAAATGACCATTTACTAGGAAATAACGAGGAAAACCCGTCCTAGTAAAGGACGTGTTTTCTTGTAATGAATATAACAAGTGTAAAAAATAATTTTAGCAAAAACAAAGTGTAAAAATTAAAATATTTATTAAAAACACATATCATAAAAATATGGACAAAAAACGAAAGTCATCAAAATTACGTAAAATTACGATAACAAATATGATGTAAACATATTAAACTAAATAGATATATAGATATTTGATGTTGATTACTATGAATATAAAGGCAAAGCCTTGAATCGTATTTATTAAAACAGAAGTCACAATTTTGATTCAAGTGTCATTTTTTTTAAATGGACTATTCTGTAGAAACATTATCAAAGTTATCAACATAATTTAATGATAATATTTTTTAAATATTATTATCTTTCTATTTGAAATACAAATGAAATAAATCCAACAAAATCTTTTTAGCATCTTTTTAAATTTTATTTCTGTAAATTATTGGATGTAAATTCTAATTATCATAAAATATTATTAAAATTATTATTTTATTTATAAATGAAAATTTAAAATTATCTAAAATATTTCTACTTATATTTTAATGAGAGTAAATAATCATATAAATTGATGGATTTTCAAAAACAATTATTTACAAAATTTAAATTGATTATGTTAGAAACAAATACTGAAATTCTATTTCAAATATAAAAAATAATATATTATATATTTATCAATTTATACTATTAAAACGAAGTCATGAGTTCCGACTAACACTTGATCTCAGAAGATGGGAGATGACAAAAAAAATGAAATCATGAGTTATTTCATGTATAACTTTTTTATTTGGACTATTTTTTAAAACAATTATCAAATGTAACATAATTTAATTATAATACCACCCCATATGTTTATCTTTTATTTTTAATATAATTTTTTGTGTAAGAAATTTAAATTTATCTAGAGAGGACTATATTCCTAAAACCTAAATAAAAAACTATATACTTGACCCACACAGACTTTTCATTTTATAAATACAAAACTTTGATAATATTAAATATATGATTTACATTTAATTTTACATATTATATAACTCGATAATTTTGTTGTTTAAGTTTCTTTCATTATTAATATATAGTAATTTGTTTTGTATATTTCAATTTATATTCTTATTGATTGTTATTACTTATTAATATATTTTTGAGTTTGATATATAAATTATAATCTGAAATAATCAAATATATAATCTTCTTTAATATAGAGTTTTAGTTTCTACAATTTGCATACAATACATTTTAACATTTATTTAAGAGAAACTATGTGTAATGTACATAACAAAAAAAAGAAGTAAGTATATAACCATAACAATTCTTATGCTATGATATTCTTTGTATAATATGTATAAAGACAAAAAATATCCTTCATCCCTATTTTATTCTCACTCTCACTTATTTTATTGATTTTATTCTTCTGAAACTATTTTTTTTTTAACTTATGTTGATATTTGTCATCTAACTTTTATCCCATGATCATTTACAAGTTTTATGAAAAATTTGGAAAAAATAGTACTGTGCATGCCATATAATCATTAGATCAAACAAAAGACAGGTTTTTAGTTTGGATTGGTTCGATGACGTCAGGTTTTTTGGTTATCCGTTCGTTTTACAGAATATAGAGAAATCATTATTCAATCAAATATAATGCGTTATTATTTTCGGAATGTATAATTTTAGATTCCTGAGTTATTAGTTAACATATCAGGTCAGATTAAGTTCGACTTCGTTTAGCAAAATACTCGTCGGTTTAGAATTTAACTTTGCTTCACACTGATAACTACAGTTAGGTAGAATGCCTATTTGGCTAGTTCTATGAAACGGCTAGCAGATGTTCTTTTAGATGACACATTCACCAAGAAAAGGAAAAAAAAAACAGAGAAAAATACGTTCATTAATTAATTTAAATCAAGCCAGACAATCTTTTTTGGTGTAAATGTTAAAAACTAAAAAGCCAGACAATCTTACTACATTGTCATTTACTGTACCTTTATTGGATGAACACTAAAAGTCTAAACACCAGACATTATTTGGAGAGAGTAAGGTCTTAGACTAGACGCACTGGCATTTCTCTGTATAAATAGTAATGGACCTTCCAAACTATTTTATTTGGTTGATATGGTTCATATATATATGTATGTGTTATGGAATACGATTTAGAGAATGTAATTGTGTGTAAACAAGTCACTGCGATGGTGGATCAAGGCGGAGAGATTCCAGTTTGCTCTCAATTGATTTGGATGAAGATCCATCATCACGATTATTGTCCTGAGTATCCTGAGAAAGAAAGACATTTAAAGAATACCTTAATTGTATCCCTTTGTTTAAGATCTTCATATCCCATATATACGGTTGACTATGCTAATTATAGTTTAAAGACTTCAAGTTTACCTGAGTGTTGGGGTTCTGCGTAGGAACTACATGCACTTGCAACTCCTGGTCACAACCAGGAATTTAATATTGACAGAAATGTGTAAATTTGAAGTTTCTTATAACACGAACCGTAATGTCGTTTAGATTGAAGTGGCTAAATCCTGAGATATGTTCATATCTTCCATCCACCCTCAACACACCGCCTGTAAAAGACCACATACAAAAATCATTTGAGTCACAACAATATAAAAAATTAACAAACGAAAGTAAAACCCCTCTTGCAAATTTTGCTGACAAGTAAACCAGAAAATCAACCAGGTTCAACGATATTTTCAATCTAAGATCTTAAATTTTCAATCCACCACTATTTCTCTCTTCGGAAAACACTAGTACAAATCCTTATTCATTACTCATAGAGTTAATATATATTGAACATACCGTTCTCGATTCCAAAAAGAGAACCATTTAATTGTGGGCAAAAATAGAAGACCGATCCATGAAACCGATCTCCGGTACTAAATTTGAAGCTAACCGCAGTTCCTATGGCTAATTCTTGGAAGAATCTCGAGTTTTCGTTTGCCATTATTGAAAAAGTTGTGGCTGATTTTGTGTATGTGGTTTTCTTATTCTATGGGAAGGTTTTGTTTGTTATCTGACTCAAAGCAGAGTAGTGCTATAATCATCTGTATTTATACATCATCTGGAGCGTAACAAGTTTGCTTCAATATTCTTCTCTTCTAATTTCTAAACCAAAAGCTATTTCTTTTCCTTCAAATACTTTCTCTATCTATTTAGGAAAATACTGATAAAGTTACTTTCTTACAATCAATTTCGTCAACTTCTTGACATTTTTTCCTTCACATTTATTTCTGTTTCAACTTTATTACTCTTTTTGTTCAGCTGATTTTGCATGACGTGGGTTTTTACATCCCTCCAACCATACAAGAACACAAACTATGTCCATCCATTTATACTTTATGACAAAATACAGCTGTTTATTTTATTGCACGCAGAATTAAACATATGTATGCTATTTCCATTTGCAATAAGAGATTAACATATAGGAATCATACTAGGTGATTTTCCCGTGCTCATGCACGGGTATGAATATTCATAAAAATAAAATTTTATAAGAATTGATTGATATTTATTTTTATTTTTGAATCATTTTATATGTATAATTTATATTAATAAATATTATATTATTCTAATTATACATATGACTTTGGATATGTTATTGTCAATTTCATTATTTTTTTGATCAATAGTCGGTTTGGTTATCAATTTGATATATTGGATAATATCTATTTTTCGAGTTCAGCTATAATGTTTTTTTTTCTAAATATAATAAAATTTTGTTTAATTTTTTTATTCTCATTTCGGTTGGTTATTGTCTTAGATATGTAAATATATTCTTAGATATGTAAATATATTATGGTTTAATTATGTATAACTTAATATATATTGGGCTTAAAATGAAATATATAATAAGATAAAGTGTTTGATTCAAAATTACATAAATGAATATAATAATAATATTTTGAAGTCTCGGCATATATATAAATTCTACAAAAGAATTAAATTGTAGTTGTTTAATATTTTATTTTTAATATGTTTTGAATCAACATCTAATTTATATGTATAAAATTAAATATATTATTATTATTATAATAAATTCTATTTTCTTATTTTATTTGGATGTTTAATTTTGGATATAAATTAGATTAGTCGAGTCATTCATTTTGTGAGTCTATTGAATTAAATATATTTTTAAATTAAAATTGACGTATAATTACTTTTTATTTTAGTTGAGTCAAATCAAATTAGTTTTATGTATCGCTTAAATATACATGTATTTTCATAATATTTCTTTACTCTTTATTTTAGTTAAGTCAAATCAAATTAGTTTTATTTATCGCTTAAATATACATGTATTTTCATAATATTTATCAAATTATATGTCAATTTCTAAAAAATATTAGAAAATAAAGTGTAACTGATAAATTTTTGGATGTTCATGAACATATATATTTTTATTATTTTGAAAATATATTTTATGTTATTTAAAAATATATATTAATGGGGTATTACTATTTTGTAAACTTTTCTTTTTAATAAAGTCATATGTATATTAATGGGGGTATTACTATTTTGTGAACTTTCCTTTTTTAATAAAGTCATATTATATACATGTAATTTCGTTTTAAAATTTTAGAAATATTTCCTTTTTATTATATATATTTGGAAAAAGATTAAAAAAACTAAATAAAAGAATTTAATAACAATCTTAAAATCTAACAATTCATTAAGGGTATCTATGTAATCAACCATCGCGAGAGTTAACGTGAACGCGACACGTAGGAAACTGACTTCTCAAATAATATTATAGAGATTATATTTAGCTCTAATGCTAATGCTTTTTTTACGCGGATGAATGTAGATATTATTGACCTCGATATAGTTTTCATGAATGTAAAACGTGCACTTCATCGAGGAACAGTTCTAATTCTAGATGTACCGTGTAGAACTGTTGAAGCTATAAGGGTGCATATGTATCTATACTATTATTTAAGAAGTAAATTTACTTATTTTTCACATTCTCTATAATTTTAAGGGTAATTTTGCTTATTTTTCATAATCTATAACTTTGAATAATGATTAATTATTGATCTTAATGAATAATTAGATTTATTAATATATAATTAATTAGCTATAAACTTAAAAATAATTAATATATAACTAGCTTTAATTGAAAACAAATTTCATTGATTAGATGATTATCATTATTTAAAAATAATTTATATTAATTAACCATGAACTAAAAATAAATTAATATATACAGGCCATTAATTAAAAATGAATTTCATTGATTTGTTATTAGCATTATCTAAAAATAATTTATATTATGTTATTAAAAGTCTTTATTAACGTTAATGAATAATTTTTTTTTTCTAAAATATAATTAACCATAAATTTTAAAAAAAAATCCTTGAATTGATAACTATCACTGTATAAACTTTTTTATGTTAGTTTATTCAAAAAAAACTTTTTTACATTAGATTTTTCAAAAAGTTTTAAATAATAATTATAAAATAAATCCATATATATATATATATATATATATATATATATATATATATTGTATACGGAAACTTTCTCAAATAGCTTTCTTAAGTTTTTATCACAAAAATAGCCCTCAAACAATAAAATGATCAAAATAGCCTTTTATTTTGAAAATTGTAATTTTCACTTTTTTTATTTTTTTCAATTTGAAACCCTATCCCCAAAACCCACGCCTTAACTTTAAACCATAAATATAGATTAGTTAACCCTAGAGTATAAGACTATAAGGGCATATTGACCACTTTATAAAAAAAATTTTGGTCATTTTTCTCTTTGAGTGCTATTTTAGTGAAAATAAAATAAAAAGGCTATCAAAGGGAATTTTCTATTGTATATGATATTGATATTTTCAAATTTGTTTTACGAAATAAAATATAATTTTATTATATTGAAAAAAAATTTCATATGTAAAAAACTTAATATTAATTTATTACTAAATATTTTAAAAGCATTAGTGTTTTTAAGTTTATGTTACGTGGTAAAGATTTTATTGTTTAATTTTTGTTAAATATTTTGAATGTTAATTTTTTAATTTATTTCAACTGATAATATATTTACTAATGTATTTACTTTAAAATATTTGTTAAATTATTACGTTCGCACGTGCGGACAAAATACATAATTCTTTGTATTGACACGTGATAACTGGAATTTAGCATTAGTCGTTCAGTTGGATATAATGGAAAACTGAGTAAAACATGGAAAACAAAATTTTTATTCTTTAAAAACAAAAGAATTTAGTAAAAACATGGAATACATGAGAAAGCTTATTATATAAAGCTTGGTTTTCAAAGTTGCTAATTAACATGAATGTGAAATATGGTAATAAATAATTTAAGAATATGAGATGTGTTTAAAATTAATCCATAAAAAGTATTTTATAGTAATTTTCGTTTTTTTAATCCTAAACAAAAGCTAATTGTAAAGAGCTATTTGAAAGTAATTTTCCTTCTGTAAAAAACCTAATTTCTAATTATTCAATCCTACGCAAAGAAAACTATAAACTAAAATAGTAGTTTAAAAAAAGAAACTTAAAAAACCGAATCATGGGATGTCAAAAAAAACCCGAATCATGTATAAAATTCTACAAATACATGAAATTATTTAACAAAATCTAAAATAATAATGAATTATAAATCCTACAAATACTATCAAGAAAAATAATATTAAATATTAAATTTCTTTTTGAAAATCACAAAAGATAATTGTAAAAAATAAATTATTTATTTCTAAATAACTAACTTTCATGTTTAATATACAATTACTATTTAAAAAAAAATCATAAGCCAAAAAGAACTATAAATATTCACATCTATATAGGTTTAAGTTTTTACATATTAATTTTACAAAACACAATAGTATTTACAGCAAAATATACATGAGTATCTTTTTATTGTTGTTAAAAAGAGTATATTTTTTTTTCATGATACAACTCTTAATTTTATCATTATTTTTTCTAATTCTTATGATGATGTTGTAATTGTTATAAAACTACAATGATGTAGTCCTACATGAATAGATATTAATATTATGAATATGTGTTTGTACATGTAAGAAAATATATAGCCAGTCATAATGTCACTTTATTACAACATAGTATGGGACATAAGTCATTTTATTACATTTTTTCTAATATAAATTTTTATTTATTTGTTACTTAGAATCATCAAGTAGATAATGAAATCATATAGTTATTTAACATAACATAATTTACATCAAATATTTTTATTGTCGTAATGTAGTATATTTTACTTGAAAGTGAAAAGTAGAAAAAAAAAGAATAACAAACTTATAAAAATGAATTTCCTATTATTAAATTATTTTATATAAATATAAAAAATACAATTCACGGATGTGTATATCAATATTTTCTATTTTTTAGAAAAAGATTGAAGATAAATTACATGAAAGAAATTTTATTGAAACTTGTAATTTTAATATGCAATTTTAATAATAAAATTTCTCACAACTATTTGCATGTAGTTGTGAGAAATCATGATGAGTTTCTGAAAAATAATTTAAATATTTTTAATCATTAAAATTTTGAATGGTTGACAAGTGACACAAGAGTTTCTTTAAGTCTTGAGAATGTCTCTTCCTCGAAAGAATTTTGGAATAGATTCGCACTGCTGATGGTCTAACTGAAAGATATATCAAATGACTTATATTGTATATTAATAGTCTTTAGATATATATATATATATATATATATATATAGTTAAATAATATTATTTTATAACATATGTAATCGGATATATTAAAATATAAAAAAAAACTTATGTTTGTGGTTAAACTATGTCCATATTTAGAAGAGTTACTATAATTTTATTGATAGGAAGGCTGGTTTTATTAATAGTAAAACAACGCATAAGCATTTCAAGATTTCTATAGATCTTCATCAGGACAGTAAATGCAACAACAATCATGGTACCATACTTTCTGAACTACTTGAAAGAAGAA